CACACACCATGGCACCTGGCAGGGCCGGAAGCCGACAGACAACCGATCAGGCACGACATAGTCCCTCACCACGGCGAGCCGGTAGATGGAATCATCACGGCGCTGCATCTGCATATATAGGCTAGGTAGCGTGAGAGCCGGTGAGAGACAGGCTCTCGTGGCTGTCGGCAGGGAGCTACAGCGTGCTACAGCGAGCTGCTACAGCGCTGAACAAGAAGTCTGTACAATGAACATATCGGGGTTGACGCCTGTGGACGCCAAAGTTTTGTTTGCATCGGATGAAGTACATGAATATTTGTTTTCCGTCAATCGGCATAGCATGAATTGCAGCGTGTGAGACTTCATAATGCCCCTCGGTAGACTTGACTGAGGAAACAGTCCTTGAAAGTCGAAATCAAGCCAAATAAAATCGAGAAGCGGGAAACGCCTTTTCTCATGAACGAAGCTACCTAGCTCTTGACGGGATGAGATGTTTGAAGGTCCCGAGTCGAGCACACGCCTAATTAAGATGTTAAAGAACTCTCATAGCAGTCATTTTCGTAGTAATATGTAGAAGTTGCATAGTTTGTGCTCAAGTTTGGAGCTAAAATTTGCTTAATTAAAGCATAACGGTCTCCGATTCCATGCAGCATTGCTGATCATCAGCCTCCCGTTGAGCATTGGCCAAGTTTTCAGAGATGCCAAGCTGACGTATAGACTCAGCTGTTTGTCACATATTTTCACCACAGACTATTGCCGCACCCATCCACCATCCTGTTCGTCGTTAATCGTTCCGTTTTTGGAATCAACCGGATATTATCCCGGTAGCCAAATGTCATTTGCGCGAGCTGAGGAAGCCAGCTTAAATCAGACACAGGGTCAGCCCAGACGAGACGATCACTAACTCTGAGGGAGATGTCGCAATCTAACCCACCGGAAATGAAAAGCGAAAAATAAAAAGAAGCTCAAGCTGGGTCAGTTAGTGAACGCCAGACGCCGGGCAAGGTCGCCTTTCAGGATAGGTTTGCTGAGAGATAATCTTCGCCTAAGAATTGTTCACGAGATCCAGTGTTCAGGAATGTATTTTAGGATGACGTTCATTTTAAAATCTATACAAATAGGTAGGGTTAATTATTAATTAATTAAAATGAAACACACACCGGAAACGTGATGCTAATATCAAAAACATGTATAAGAGTAAAGAAAAGACCATCGCAAACCGTTTGGGCGAATGCCCGTGTGTTTGACGAACTTCAAAGCAGCAGGGCGGCAATTACAAAGACAGGTATGCCGTACGGGGATCATAATCACTGAAGACTGAGCAGGCGCCCGAGCGGCGGTCTGTCTTGTCGGAATCTCTAGTCGCATTGAGACGCGTCGGTCGCACCGCACGCTGTTTGAAGAACACAGAGCGGACCACGGTAGGATTAAACAGGGAACCGCACAGAACCACAGTGGACTATAGAGGACCACAGAGGACCGCACAGAACCACGGTTAGCCCTCGCCCGCACATGCCATTTTCCCATCCTAGAACGCACATGGGGGTGGTTGCCACCCCCCGCGCCATTTCGTTCCTGTTGGAGATAGAGCTTAGCAGTAAAGACCAAAAAGATTCTTTGGGAAGAGACGAATCCAATGATACCCAGTTTTACCTTCTCAGGTCATTCATTGACCTTCCAGGTCAGGTCAAACTAAAAAATGTTGCTGTTTTGGGTCACCGTTGGATATCAAGTGCGCTGCTTATCAAATACCGATGACGATGCTGTTTTCTGGTGCCAAGCCAGCTAGAACCTCTTTGTCACACTATCCGACCAGAATTTTGCTGCTGAGGTCATTTCAGGTCAAGTTAGGTCAAGGTCAATTATATGTGTTTATATGTGTTTGTACACTCGGGGGCAGATTGATGTTCCACAACTCTTTATCCACCGGGTTCCTATGGCTCAGCATTGGCAGCAGCCGCCTGGTACCGGTAGACTGTGCCGCTTCACTTGCTTGTCAAGCGGCACAGCCTACCCACCTGTATGAAACCGGTCTGGGTCGGTGGCTGGAAGGCGATGTGGGCCGCCTGTGACGTCAGCGCAGCGGTGAGGGCCGAGCCCGGAGGCATGGCTCGGGTCGGCGCGGCGCGGCGGCTGGCGAGGACTGGGGAGTGAGGTGGGGTGGGAGCACGGACATCGCGTGGCTGAGCGAGTGTAGTTAACTTTCGCATCTCAAGGCGCCAATTATTCTACCTAACAATTGTGCTAAAGCAGTTGTTAAAATGTCCTATCCCCAAGACAGCGCCTATCATCATACTTGCCATGCACATTACGACACACTTAAGCGTGGCAATGGGACAGCCGATAGAACTTATGTCAATTGTCACTCGTGCATCGAGGTGCGGAGCTATATTAGTAAGTATTAGTAAGTATTAGTAGTAGTAGTAAGTATTAGTAGTATATATTAGTAAGTATTAGTATAGTAGTATATTAGTATATTAAGGCCTTGATTGAGCAGATTGGTGTCTATTGTTTCGCACGGCAATCGTCCAGAGACGTGGGAACTGGGGGTTATGAGTAGTGCCGCAGCCAACGCTCCAATTTAAAGCGATTATTACTGTTGCTCTAATATGTGTTCGCAGCCTCCAATAGCAAACCATTCCAACTAGGAGCCAAAAAGTCGGCCACTCAGGGGGGTTCGAGCCGGGCTTCTCCCACCGGCCAATTCACGACACGAGCGTTCATCCACTGAGCTACCGAGAATGATCCTCGTCCGCACAAAACAAAATGACATTCACCCGCTGACCGCCAATGACAGTATTGTGACATTTGATCGCGTTTGACCGCGGCGGGTGGTCGCTGGTTTCGGCAGCTCAGTGGATACATGCTAGCGTCGTGGGGTGACCGGTTGGAGAAACCCGGTTCGAACCGTCCCAGGTGCGCGACTTATTTTTTCCTAGATGGAACGGTTTGCTATTGGTGGCTGCGACCACACATTAGAGGAACATAAGAGTTGGGACGCCGCGCTATCCAAAAACCCCAGTTCCCACGTCTCTGGACGATTAATGTGCGAAATAATAGACACCAATGAGCTCAATCAAGGCCTTAATACATATCTGTTAAAAGCAATGTAGCTCCGCAACTCGATGCACGTGTGATATAAATTCTATCGGCTGTCCCAATGTCACGTTTAAGTGTGTCGTAATGTGCATGGCAAGTATGATGATAGGCGCTGTCTTGGGGATAGGACATTTTAACAACTGCTTTAGCACAATTGTTAGGTAGAATAATTGGCGCCTTGAGACGCGAAAGTTAACTACACTCGCTCAGCCGCGCGATGGTCCGTGCTCCCACCCCACCTCACTCCCCAGCCCTCGCCAGACGCCGCGCCGCGCCGACCCGAGCCATGCCTCCGGGCTCGGCCCTCACCGCTGCGCTGACGTCACAGGCGGCCCACATCGCCTTACAGCCACCGACCCAGACCGGTGGCATACGGTGTGGGTAGGCTGTGCCGCTTGACAAGTAAGTGAAGCGGCACAGTCTACCGGTACCAGGCGGCTGCTGCCAATGCTGAGCCATAGGAACCCGGTGGATAAAGAGTTGTGGAACATCAATCTGCCCCCGAGTGTATGTCTGTGTGTGTCTGTGTGTATACTGATGTGTGCACCGATTGTTTTTGGGTCCATATCACATGAAATCATGATCTGAGAAGCTTTTACCAAAAATGCAGTCAAAAAACTTCACAAAAAGTAAATTCAGCTTGCCTAAAACGCAATTATCTTAGATGACCTAGGTTGACCTTGACCCTGACCTTGACCCCTGTACATCGTCGAACAACATGTTCCATGATAGGTGGGAGGTAAGACTGGCAAAAAAGGCCGAAATCAGGGTGTCAAAAGCTCACAAGGCCCATGGCAAACGCAAGATGTTGATAATTGGCCATTTGGGTCATGACATGACCTGAAAAACAAGGTCATATCTCCGAAGCCAAAAATCACAGAAACTTGAAATTTTCAGTGGACATCAAGAAAGGATAGACGAGCAGCTATACGAAAAATCAGCCTTCTAGCTCTAAAAATGTTGAGTGCAGAGCAGAAAGACTGCCTGGGGGGGGGGGGTGGCAACCACCCCCCCCCCCATGTGCGGGCGAGGGTTAGACCGCACAGAACCGCGCAGGACCACAGAGGCACGGGGTGTGCGCAGGTGGCCCATACAGGGACGAGTCGCTCCGCCCGGCCGCCCGCCGCCGTCCGCGCCGCCCGGGCCGGACCGAACCTTTCGCCGGGACCGAGCCGGCCAGCAACAAAAGGGCCGCGTAGACCGGTGATCAAGGGAAAGGGGGAGTGTGGGTGGCCGGCCGGCGGAAACGAACACCTGGGACTGCCACCGTCCCAGCAGGGGGGGGGGGGACAGACCGAGCGGGTACGGACCCGAGACGGATTGTCTCACAGACGGCGCGGCGGCGGCGGCGGCGGCGGCGGCGGCGGGGCTCTGGGGTGTCGTTTTCACACCCCGGTGACGGCGGCTACCTGAGAGGAGGGACGGTGCCTCACAGCGGGAGGGCGAAGGGTACGGTGATCAGGACCGACGAGGAATGTGTGTCTGTGTGTCTGTGTGTCCCTCGGTAAATGCCTGACAGATCTACCGGCCTGGGATCTACGCGAGTAGCAATTTCGCATGAGCGCGCTCATTAGTTCCAGATGTTTACGAAGGAGGACGCTGCCTCCGCGACACATTTTTACTGATTATTCAAGAAATTATTTCTCTATATCAGCTAGTCGAAGCTATTGTCACTGGTCAGGGAGAACGAGTGTGGTTATAACTAGTCCTTATAACAGGCAGCCTCTAGATTGAAGCCTGCAACACATCCACAAAGTGATAACGGAAGGTTGCTATTCATTTGTTAGAAGCACTGTTCGTTGAAATTGTGCTTTCCTATTGAAAAACAAGACAGAGTTCTTGGAATTTTTGGCAAAAGATGCCGGAGTATTTCGGGATTTCGGCTGCTGGCGGCCGACATTTGCGCGTACCGCCGAACTCACCTTTACATTCGTTGGCCGCCTGGTCGGTGGCGCGTCCCCAGGGCCGGTCAAAGTGGAACGGTTTGCATCTCTCGCAGTCTCTTCCCGCCGTGTTGTGCTTACACTCACAGACCAGCTCTCCGGAGCCGTCTCGAATGCAGCGCGATGCGTGCCCGTTACACTTGCAGCGGCCGCCGACAGAGAGGTCGGACATGGCGTAAAAATCGCTACCCGTCTCGGAAGTCGTCTCTGAAGTGTAGGAGTCCAGCAGGGAGATGGTGTTGTCGGCAACTGAGTCAGGGCCGGAGCGTGGTGTCGTGCTCATAACTGACGGTAGCAGGTTCAGAGACCCGGCTGAAGATGGTGTCGGGTGAGGTCGGGTTAGCTCAACACGGATATCCGTGGCAGTGATCCAGTCTTGGAGAATAGGACTGTGTTCGAGCTGATAGGCGCTTGGACGGCCTTCTAACGTGCTGAACGCAACTCTTCCTCCGGCCCGACCTCCAGACATTGGCGTTGGCTCACAGAGAGGTTCCTGTTCGTTAGCACGCGTGATGGCCGCTCGTTCAGGACGACCATATACCCCACGACAATCCGAGCTGTAGTACTGAAACGGCTGCCACGAGCGACCATAATCCATAGACTTGAAGATAGCCAGTGAGTCAGGTCGCCTCCCACAAAACTGTAGGCTGATGTATGTCAACTCATACTTCTTTCCAAGCGAGAGAGTAAGCGTGACGGCTGAGTCGTTTACCGGCAGCGCAGCGCTTTGCCAACAGGTTAAATTACTCGGGTTGTTGAGGTCAGTCAGATGTGAAGGAGGGTGAGCACGTGCTGGTGTTGACGCGTCACAGATTTGACATTCCGCTGGCTCGCCGTCAGCTCTTGTACACAGCTGCTCGGGCTGAGATCCACAAGTAGAAGATACGCTGAGTTGTTGACCGAATGCGGCGTTCACGAAGTCAGGCACGCATCTCTGCGGCTGGCGGACTGTTTCGTCCATGCAGGCATCGGCCGGTGGTGGTGGCATCTTTGGAGAGAAGAGCATGAAAGAGCGACCACCTCGAGCGGGCTCGGAGAAACCGGGAGAGACGAGGAAGGCCAGAAGAAGCAGCTCCGGGGTCTTCATGGTGAGGCCAGAAGAGCGCACGTCTCGATAGTCCGTATTCACTGAGTCTGGCCAGAGAAGGTCCACTTAAATTCGCAAATGACGGTGATAGTTTGATATCGTACGTTTAGAGTTTGGAATTCACAGTTTTTAGGAGATACGGCTAAATGGATTCCGGTATACCGTCTTCGAATCACTGATAAACTCACTAGACGCAAAGTTTGAGGGCACCGATCGTTCACTCTCTGAACAGTTGCTCAGCGGGAGCTCTCAGCACTGTGCTTTGCCTCCACTTCTCACTCAATCATCTCACCGTCCTTCTCACACCAAGTCCACCATATCACCTTCCGTCCGCACTCCTCACCAGTCCTCGTCCGAGCCGACTCGCGAAAACCGCCCGACGAGCCGCCGTCGGCCCCGCCGACCGACCGTCGCAATCGACGATACCCTACCGCACGCGACGATGCCCCGGAGCGTATCGTCGACGTGTCCCCCTCGCGGACACTAATCCCGAACTGACACCGCGCCGTCTCGGAGGCAGACAGGCCGCCACGCGACCTCAGCGCCGCCCAGCGGCAGGAGGGAGAACTAACCCGCCCGTCGCCTCGGCTGGGGTTAATTGGGTTTTTGTTGCGTTCAAGGTGTGAGTCTGATAGGCATGGAGGCAGGGCGGTGTGGCATGCGATGCCTTTCCTCTTTGTGCCCAGAGGGGACGGGAGGCGTGGTCTTGCCGGTGTAATGTGATTGGACTGTAGCCCGAAGTGGGTAGAGTGATCTGAACGGTGGGTAGAGTGATCTGAACGGTAGGTGACAAAGAGTTCATCTTTTATACATAATTTGCCATGTCGATTGGCATCACTGGTAAACAGTCCCTGTCTGGTGGTTCCTTACCTTTCACCAGGCAGCCAGTGAAGAACATCTCAATATGAGCGCTACTCTCCGGGATGACCATTTGAGCGGTTAGTTGGCCAGTCCTTCAGGACAGGGTTTACTACCCCTGCGGCGCACTATTCGGTGGTCGCATCATTCCAAATGTCTCCCTCCTTTGCTTTGGAAATGATCCAATTTGCTTTGTGTGGTGACCCGTGGTAGCAATCAAGATTGAAATCAAGCCAGGTGGTCGGTGAGCAGAGCGGACCGTTAATGGCTATATAATATGGCGATACGTCGAGCACGTTTTTTAATTTATCCCCTCTGCACATCATTCGTATGTCTCTATTTGGTCAAAGAAGCCAGACCTGCGCATCAAATTCTCCTCCCTGTGAGTTCTCGCACTGGAGAGCCCGTCCGTGCAACTCTGATGAACTTATACAAAATGACCATCGCCTACTGTGATATTTTTATAAGAATTAATCGGATCGAACATCAGTCCCGTTTGTTGTCTAGGTTGGTTAACGGCTGCTTGAATCTATGTCCCGCGACCCACACGACCCACCCAGCTCTTTCCGTCAAACCGTGGCGGCGTTTGACGGTTGAATTTATGTCCCGTGACATTTATACATTGAACCAACCACCACGTGGCTGGAGGGCTGTCTTTGTGTCCCTCCCTAAAAACTCGAGTAAAAAGAGGGTAAAAACTCGAAAAATAACAGTTTTTACAAAATAGTTTTTTTTCTGTAGCAACTTTTGACTCAAGAAAAAGACTGCATTAATTTTGCCAGCATCGTGTTCCTCTCGTCGCGACGCGTCGAATGAATTATAATTTGACCTCAGGTCAAGGTTATGACCTGACCAGAAGAGGACATGTTGCGTATCAGTCGATCCGTATCGTCGACCTGAACACAGCTAATGTGTTTTCATCGCTCTAGCAAGCCTCTATCAAAAGTTATTAGTGAAAAACTGTTGGATGTCGTGACCTGAGATGACCTTATGGAAACAAAGAGGGGTCACAGCTGCCATTTTCCAATTCTGCATGTCATGTTTACTTCTAATTCAGTGTTTGAGTGTTTAGAATGACGTTCGTCCAAAATTGAGGCGCCAGTCAATTTTCTCCCATTGACTTATAACGGAGAGATCTCAAAACTGACCTGACCTTAGGTCAACGATAAAAAATCCAAGGGACAAATTTTGACTGTTTCACGTGACAAGCATTCTAACTTTTTATCAGGTAAGGTCACTAGACGTGACCTGGTGACCTGACCTTGAGAGACCTGGGTTTAAAATTTTCACAAGTGCGGAAAATATGTATGAATAGGCGTGCAGAAAACGGCAGCTCTCCACGTCGCCGTTTTTAGATATATGCAAAAAAACGCGTAGGGGGCGTCCAAACACCCCCGGCCCAGGTTAAAAAAAGAGTCCTGAGTCAAATGGCACAATTGTTACATGCTATCTGTATGCATGTAAATATTTCGGTTGATTATACATCTGGCTGAAGAATATGAAACGTAGCTTTGCAGAGGTTTAGAGGAGGTCGAGTATCGTCGTTTTTCACGGCTGAACAGAGGGAGAAGGGAGCCAGCACCGCCTCACAGCTATCCTGTGTCGGTCTGAGCAGACTACCTCACCCAAATGAGCTAGAGAGCTTGCTCGAGTTGGCAAAGATGAGAGAACAAGTTGACCAGGACAGACCAAGGAGAAAAGTAGCTAATATGAAGGTGATAATTGGAATTTATTGGGGAAAATGTAACAACCACCTATCTTGTAATTCGTAGCAAAGCCACATTCGGCATCTCTGCTACGTAATTCTAAACCGCCTAATTTTCTTTCTCAGCGATCTCACGTTTTACCCAGTTACTCACATCAGAGCTGATGGCGAGGTGATCCGAAATCCGACTTCCACTCATTCTTGGGCAGGATCCTTATTTCTTGGGATGCATGAGCTGAAAAGGGACAAAGGAATTTAAGGAAGAAAATGGAGGTTAAGTGGTACAATCGGCTGATTGTGCTCTCAGATATGCAGCATGGGGGTTGGTTGGTTGTAACACGCCGTGAGGGTGTTAACTGTGGAACTGGAGGTTCATATGGTATAGTGTTTTTTCACACTCAGAGATCAATTTTCACACTCAGAGATAGTGTTTTTAAATCGGGACGAGTTACCGCAGTCCCTACCAGTGATATACTGAAGAACAATGAGCATCAGGTCTAGGCAGATATATTGTGCACATTGGTTCACAGAAGAGTGATCACAATTCACAGGTGACTAAAGGCAAAAATACGCGCATGAGGTTCTTTGCATCTTCCATTAATATCTGTATATCACGAATATCAGCTTCCTATCAGGCTGCTTGATAAAACAATCACAAACAAAAATACACCTTGCTTACAAAAATAACTTAAGGTACTAAGGTAGCCTTATTATTCTCACTCAGAGATCAATCACAGGTAAAGTTTTGACATCCCTTACCAACGCACATACCTTATTCATTTACTGGAGCTTTAGCTATCCTGAGAGCATGACTCCGACGCACCCAGCTCAACTCGAGGAGACTCTGGCTTGAATATAATCTGTTCATCATCCAACTGTACAATTCTGGGCGAGTCCAAATACGGCTGAGGGGAGTCCCTGAAGACAATCTGTTCGGTGGTTACAGCGCGGGGCGAGTCCACTTCTTCTGACTGAGGGGAGGCAGTTTTGAAGAGTATTTGTTGATCGTCACGGACTAGTCCAACAGGACGTCCTGTTACTGTGTTTGGTGTGATGGTTTTCACGAAGATGCGAGTCAGGTTGGGGTCGGTGGTGGCTAGTTGAGCTCCGTTGGATTGTACGACATTCACCATCTGTGGAAAGAAAGCATGTAACAGCGAAAGAAAGCATGTAACAGAAAGAACAAACAGCGAAGCATGTAACAAACAAACATGCTATGGAAATTAGAAAACACTGCTAAACATAGCGCAACATAATAATGCAAACATTGCTATGCGGAATATGACGATACGATCACGTTGGACAATATAGAGGACGCCACGGTACAAACACTGCTGAACAGAGGGTGAAGGCGAGCCAGCACCGCCTCACATCTATCCTCAGTCGACTCGAGACGGATCAACTTATCCATCTTAGCTAGAGATTATCCAAGTGTCGTGGGTCTAATGACCGAGCAAATCATGAGTTGGCCAGGACAGGCAAACTCATCTGACTCCATCAGAACTCACAGGGCCAGACTAACTCAACTGTGTTGAGCCAGAGGGATGGGTCAGCTAAATGGTGTGTATCAGTGTCTCACCTGAGTAGGTCTTGCTGAGATGAGCCGCACTGATCGCTGCTCTGAAGCCTCCTGAGCCTCGCTCATCACAAACACAGCCTGTCAGCGACACAAACGGGTCAATAGGTCATCATAAACATCCTAACAGTCACTTACACATGACTCGCCCGTTACAAAATAATAATTGTATCAAACGAAAGAAATCAGACAAAAATATGATATTCGTCTCTCGTAAAATGGTACATGATGAGACAGACAGGTTGCATGAATGACTACGGGTGCCTTATTGGTTAATTGAAAGGCACATGCTTACACCGTTCAGAACCAAAGTCGTCACTTATCCCACCAACCGGCGCAAAAGTGCACATATATCCCACAGTAATACGTTTTTGTTGTTGTTTATTGGTGCTTTAGGGCGCTGTCAGTTTCTCCCAATCCCGTTCCTCACCTCATTAATAATGTAGTCGGACACCCCCTCGCCATGGCCTAGTGCCTGCATGTGCGCACGCAGCTGCGACCGACGTACAAATCCCAGTCCACAGACGCGGCACTCGAAGGGCTTCTTCTCAGAGTGAATGAACATGTGTGTCCTGGGGGTAAAGACGGCAGACTCAGTGAAGATTACGGTCGTCTACACTCGGATCCTGCACTCAGGTACAGGCTGATCGTAAATATATTGTTGAAAAGGTATAGCCATAGAAAAGGCTACGGGTAAAACGTCCGATCCATCACTGGATTCCAGCAAAAATATTATGAGTGAATGAATATAAATGTTAAATGACTGTTTCACAAAAAGCGCATGAATGAAATGACCAGATCATATTGTCCAAGGAAGCGTAAGAACAGCAAAATAAGGTAGAAATTCATACACAAAATCGAGAAGGTTAGGATTCATTTCCTGAAACGTCCGCTCTGCAGCCAAGTTAGCCACTACTCCAGCCGTCAATGACAACACCAGCACCGCGATGACGCGACTAGCGGATCTAGGGTCTCACCTGAGGTTGTCCAGCCGTAAGAACGCTCGGTAACATATCGAACACTTGTACTGTTTGGTGAGCGGCGTCCGTCGGGTGGACACAGTAGTAGCCGGGGTGGCGGGCGGTGCTTCAGAGTTGGACTGGCAGCTGCTGCGGTGGGTCTCCAGTTGGCCTGGTTTACGGAATGTGCGGCCACAGTCGGGGCAGCGGTGGCTCCGCTCCTGGGGGAGGAAGAGCTCGAGAGTTGATATACACTCTTAGTCCACATCCCTACGTTCAGTACAATATGTATACCATCCTACTAATTTCCTCACTCCTTCCAGCAATCAGCGCATCTTATCAGCTCCGCTTTCCATCCATCATGTTTTCCTTTCCATTACTCTAGCCATTTTCCTTACCTGTCTCCCCATTCTTTTTCCACCCATATTCCTCTTGGTTCCTCTGTTACTTCACTCTCTCATTCCTCTTTCTCTCGCTTATCCTTATCTCTATCCCTCTTATATCCCTCTCCCTTGCTCTCCCTCCCTCATCAACTCACCGTCTGTTGGTGCGCGGTGTTGTGCTGTAGCAGGTTGGACTTGTACCGGAACTGCCTGCCACACTGAGCGCACTGGTACGGCCGCTCTCCTGTGTGAATTCTGTAACACGGTAACACAGCGGCGTTAGACGCTGGATGACAAGCGCGCTAGGTGGCGATCAACTTCATAGATGAAACATGTCTTATAGGAACACAAGCTTAGCAGTTAGCAGAAATCTTAGCTGAGACACCGGCTAGTGTACTGGCAAGTGGCAACGTATTCAAGCAGATGGGTACTGTTTCCGCTTTACAATATGGCGTGAAGCGTGGAACGTTACGCACCGTCAAGAGCTGCGGTTTACTGGCTTAACTAGTTGCTCAAACGACTATGTCTAACCGCTCTATGTGTAATCGCTAACATTATGCAACATGAGCCACATTGGCTAAAAACGACTACAAGCCGCCCAATAAACCAGCACACAATGCAGTTATGCAGCTTTGCGCTGCCACTCCCAAGGAAACCCACCTGAAGTGCGCCTTCAGTCTGTGTTTGGTGACAAACCGCTTTCCACACTGCTGGCAGCTGAACGGTCGCTCGCCTGTGTGTTGGACCGAGTGAACCTCCAGCGCCGCGCTCGACTTGAACGATTTGGTACAGCCGTCTGCCTCACATCTGGCGGGAAATATTAAAAGTGAATGTTTGGGATAAGCATATGGGGAAAGGAATAAGAATACGGGACAGTTCTAGACAGACGGGCAGTGCTAGGGGTCAGCTAAAGGTCAAAAGTTCGACAAAAAAGGTCATGATGAAGCTGGTCCGCCCCCGCGGCCGGGGTGACCAGCTTTCAGCTAATGGGTTTTGGTCAATATTATTTTCGGGCTTTGGTATCTCCAGGGTATGCGGCAACAGTGACAAAACGCATACACAAGCCAAGTGCGAGTTTCCGCTCTGGTACGTGAGAGCACACAGCCAGCCTGGTGAATCCATCAAGGTGACCGAAATGTAGGTATTATGTATTACGACTCATACAGATGATCGACCTCTCCGATAAAAAATACCACGGGCAGTAACCCTCAGTCTATAATGCATTCAAGGTTCTGTCGGGGTAGGAAGGAGCCGTAGCACGCACCTCCAGGGCTTCTCCAAACTGTCACAGTTCCATCTATAAATTTTACTGTCCACAGGTCTTATAAAGGCGTAAATGAGCCGATACGTACCTCCAGGGCTGTTCCACGCCGTGCTCTCGCATCTCATGCGTCCTCAGCCGTCCCACAGTGGCGAACTTCCCACCGCACTGGTCACAGGAGTGGACCCGGCCGTGCTTTCGGTGTACCTGATTGCAGAGGAGTAGGAAGACATCAATGTTTATCTGGTCCCAGAGGACGGAGAGATATCAGCATGTGTCTGACCTAAATGTACAGGCTGACGAAGGTAATGCGCTGAGGCCGATGCCTGGAACACTTAACGAGACATAGCCAAGTGCATAACCAAGTGATCGACGAAATTCTCACCACTATCAAACTGGTGTCATACCTATAGACATTCAAACTTGTCAACCGAACGAAAACGTGACAAAAGATAACTTGTTGCTATCCTAATTCCTAGAGCCTAATTTTATTAACCTTTTCAGTCTACCTAGCTATTTTCAGTCTACCTATTTCCCCATATTAGCAGATTCTACTGGTAACGCAGCACCCCAGCGCGCGCGAGTCAGACCACTCACCAATTTGTGCTGGTTCAGACAGGCTCTGGTTCGGAACTTTTCACTGCATACAGGACAGTCGATCATATTCTGGCCGTTGTGTTTGGTCTGATGCTCCAGGTACGCATTACGAGACCTGAAAAGGTGATGGAATATCTTAGATGGCGGTGTGGGTGGCATGGAAATTCAACGGGGGCGGCATCAGCAACGGCACATACGACAAAGGGCGATTCTTATAGACCACAGCGATCAATGCATGGTGGAAAGAGCAGCAGACATTGGAAGGTAGTGGACACTTAGGTATGCGGACGAAATACCTAGACCGTGGACAGATGATGAAAAAAAATGTGGAGAAGACGGAAAAAATGACATAGTCAATGAAGAATAGAGGTGAGGTGAGACATGCAGTGGGCAGCGGAAGGCGGAAGTTTACGTAAGTGGCAGGAAGAAGATGGTGGACAGACAAGGTTGAGACAAGCGTTGACTCAGTCGACGCAATAACGAACTATGTGCACCACGCACCGCGTTTCACATGAGCACACATGACACAGCCGATCACAGTGCTGTTACTAACTACAAGCACGCACTGCACAGCCGCTCGTTCCGAATACGGAATCAACTCGTACCTGAAAGTCTTACGGCAGTGGCGACACCTGATGATCCGCTGCTTTTCATGTTCGCTCCTCTGATGTTGCTTTAGCTCAGACTCCAGATGGAACTGCTGATCACACTCGCCACAACTGTACTGCGCGGCGCCCGCCTTGTGCACCGCCTGCAATCAAAGACTGCGATGAGTTAGAAGGGAAGCTGTTTAGCGCTAATACAGCATCTCAGTGAACCGGGAGGGGATTCGGTAACACAGCAAAACTGCCTGCCGTAAGCCGTTGAGTGGCCGAAAATCACTCAACACGGGAACACAGTGTCAGAGTATAGAACATATTCTATATCATGCCCTTCTGCTGCAAGGTCTTAGGTTAACTAACTGGTAGCGGTGACATAAAAGGTCTCTCATTGTCATTTCACAACATACTGAACAGTGAACACCAAGCGGAACACACCTCAGCCCCACGACACACACTACTCCCCCCTCCCCCCCTCTTCGTCATCATCTTCGTATCTAACGTATATCTACTGTATTGCGAAAAAAATACGACCACTCGATCACAGACTCACCGCCACATGTTTCTCCATCTCCCGTTCCGTGTCAAACACGAGTGTACACTCTGGACACCGGGGTCCGGGCGGGCCGTGCCACCTGTGAACATGTTCCTCCAGCACAGAGCGGCTGGGGAAGGAGCGGCCACAGCCCGGCTCCGGACAGGGTAGAGGAGGCCGGGTGCCCGTCGGGCGTACCACCTGGAACGTGTGGGACAAAGGTTAGCGATCAGTCAGATGGGGATGGAGCCGAGAGGAGGTGTTTGTTTGTTGGGGGTTAGGGGCGCGCCGACTGCGAGGTCATTTTGCGCCCAAGAGAGGAGGTGTTTGTTTGTTGGGGGTTAGGGGCGCGCCGACTGCGAGGTCATTTTGCGCCCCAGAGAGGTCGAGATGTGCCTACGTGGAGGCGTGGAGGAGTAAGAGAGCGAGCGAGGTAGTAGAAGACGTCGCGGCCAGAATAGGCTGGATGCTTCAACAGAGCGAGAACATAAAAGCCGAGAAAGTAGACTTCGTCAAAAGAACAAAATTGACACCAACCTATAGGAGCTGTCTGAAAAATAAGCCGTATTTGTGCTTTCTAAACTACTAAGTCGGACGTGGATAACGATACAAAAGCATGATTCATTCCTAAGCTCAGCAAACCTATGATTACATACCACAGATTCAAAGTCACGTTACATCTTCCGTAATTCCCACGCTAATAATTGATCGGCACCAGCACACGGTCTACTAAAGCCATCTAGTCGAGCATACAGTCGTCCTTAACTAAGTTACAATCTCCACCCCGCGCGCCCCAACCTACCGGCTGCACTGACTCGACCGGTGGCGGCGGCTGCAGTACTTGTATACTAATGTTGAGCTCTGCCCCAGCCGGATCTTCCTTTACTGACTCACTAACAACAGGCTCCGCATATACCACACCGCCACCAGCGAGATCCTCGGGCTTTTCCTCACGGTCAGGACTTCTATCATCCTGAGATGATGACAGTTTAGGTGGTGGAGATGTTGGAATGGGAGGACATGATGGAGCAGGAGGAGAGGGAAGAGGAGGGGAGGGCAGGGCAGAGGGTGGGGAGGAGGGAGCATCCAGGAGAACCATTGGTGATGACTCGGCGGGCGTCTTCGATGAGCGCTGAAACAGAAGAGAATGGCTATTAATTCATATGAAGACGCACATGGATTACCAATGTCAAACAATGGAATCCAATTGAATCGAATCGAAATTGGCCCATGGACCTTCGAAAGCGATCGTGATACAATCCCTTATCACGCACACTACTTTTAAGCAGCACATTTGGCTTCGGACACAGCCACATGGCAAATAGGCGACGGTAACGGGGGCACCGTGTTGAATCTTAGTTGGCAATTGTGATTCATGTAATTTTGTATCAGTAAAAACTTTACACTGAAGCCTATGTCATTTAGTACCCAGCACGCACACAGCACACCTACCAGTCCTCTGGCGGCGGTCACTTCCAGAAAAGTACTCTGCATCTGTCTCTCCAACTGCCTAAGTGCCTCACAAAGCTGGTGGTATCGCAGAACTCGAGCCAGGCAGTGGCGGCAGAGGCGGGAACTTGGTGGAATGTCGGCGCAGGCCAGCAGCTCCTGAGGGGAAAACATGATCAGGAGCTAGGTCAGGGGGTGTCGTTGATGAGGTGATCGAGTTAGGGTGTGACAGGGTGAGTGACAAATCGCGGGCAATAAATCGCAAGCAACACATTACGTAAATAAAAAATCCGTGAAAATGTGCGGATCAGTGCAAAAATTTGCGGAGACCAATGCGATAAACAAAAAGCAGAGGAAGATGACATAAGAAATGACATACGATACATAAGAAATGCATGACAGTGATTTGCACTCAGAAGAAATGTAAAACCCAGTACCTCATAAGACGTTTATAATTGGTTTCACATTTCTTTAAAGATCAAAATCCGTATAATCGTCCAAACTTTCGTAACTCTGTGTCTTTTGATTCCATCAAATGATAAATTTTCAGTCTCTGCCACAAGCTCATACCTAATAAATCTAAGAAAGACTCGCCTCATCTCAACTCACCACGCATCATTCAAACGACCCTCACCTGTAGCACTTCTAGAACCGGACGTTCCTCACTCTCCAGTACCAAATCGGAGAGAGTGACCAGCTCACTGTCAACGGGACCATCACAGCACACACAGGAGCCAAGCTCATCCTCAGGAGAGGGCATGCCATCTGGCGCCTTTATGGAGACCGAGTCATCCTCTGGCTCCATTGAAACTGGATCTTCCATCATTTATGAACAATTAGTGTCTGCAACAGAGAATACTGAATTAGTGCTGATTAGATCTCTTAAAACAAAATATTTTGGGTACCTATTCCAAACTTACAAACACCCTTGATATGCTCTTTTACTTTGAAGTTTTCAGTAAGTTAGGTCATGACTGCATTTGCAAAGCATGTCTGCAGTGCAAAGCACTGCAACAGTGTCAAAAATGAACAAAATACACAAGCTAGGGTAACAAAGCATTGGTGCCTTTAAACTTGTTTGTGCCATGAATAATTATCAGATATGAAACCAGGAGGTCAAAGGACATCATGTGATTTGCTTCTTACTTGGGGATTGCACTGAAGGCAAATTGGTGATCAGTCCAAAAGTAAATAAGGTGAGGTGAACAGGTGAGTTGAAATAAATACTGACAAAGCCACATCAGTCCAACTCCACAATAAACAAGGCCCAGAACTATTGATATATAATTGACAAATCAAGGTTCATTTTCACAAGGTTTATTTCATAATTGTTGAGACTCTGCCAATGGAAATGGGGAACCAATTGACCTAGCCTTCTTTTGAGCCAAGGTAGGGGCATAAAATGCATACATATTAATATGAAAATATTATTTCAATCTTTCTTATCACCTTTCTTAACATGCGTTCAACATCTCCAAAATTAGAGCTAATTATCTGGGATCACCTGTAATAATTTGGTACTTTGCAAAAATAATAGTAATAACATGGATGAAATGAAAGGTTCTCCTTCATCCATGGTAATAATTTGCAAATTTGCAGGAACTATTGATGCAATTAGTCCTATTTTCTAATTCTTTTTTTATTAACTAATGGCTCTCATAGGTACTAGTCATGTCTGTTGTACACGGTGTCAGCTTAAAACACTGAATGATCCTGGTGATCCTGGAAAATTATCCCTGATTATCCAGATGCCAAATGCACGCTTGTAGTGGAAACCAGCCAAGTGCAACATAACCTAAGTCACGTTTACACAACATTTTTGACTAGGCTCTAGCGAACTTATTTTGTGATAGTTTTGATCTCGTAATCTTTGTATGTTTAGAGGGAATGATTTTGTAAATTGTTAAGCACAATTGGCATCTCTTGCAACATAACAGGCAGAGCTCAAGCTATAATGATAATCTTGCAGCCACTTGCAGCAATCCCTAAGCAAACGCGGCTACTCACGTAATTCAAATTTGTGTATGTGAATTGCTCATGAAGTTTTCTATGTACCGTGGCTCATGATTGTACAATGTAATGCACAGTATTAACGAGCAGGTATATAGGACCTTGGTACAATATTTCTCTGTATATGGTGTTGTATTGTATTAAATATACCGTCACAACACTGATAGAAAGCAACCAAGGCCATAGAACTCCATGCAACGAATGCAACCAGGGGGGTCCGTCCCTTTACCGGGCCATAGGAGGAAAATTGCTACCAAATGCTGCCAATGTGACGTCACTGGGATGGTCGAAAGCTGATTGGTCGCTGAGATTCAGGCGATGCTGTCAATTCTGGCGCACCGGCGCAGTGTTTTCCAGCCGTTGCGTGTATTGTTATACGGAGTTTGAATATTGTTTATTTGATAATAATATCACTTTATATGTGTTTGAAGATCGGAAAAGCATGCACATAAGTGGCATTCACACACTTGTCGTCTCAGAGATCATGAAGAATGACCAGCTTCAGCAGTTCAGCTCAGGTATTCAATTTATTCAACTGTATAAGCATGAGTATCATAGGCAGATCAGCCCCGTTTCAGTTCAACCCGGTTTAACCTTTTTTTTGTCATTTTTGGCTTTCAAAGGGAGCATGATAAACTCATATTAAGTTGTAAAATGCCTTAGCATTGTTGAAAACATAATCAGTCCCACGCACAAGGGGGAAAAGCTCAAAAAATTGAGCGCTCAAAAAATTGAGTGGGCCCCATTATGAAGGAATAGGCGAAACGATGGTATTTTACAATGCCTTTAGCGTCGCACTACGGCAAATATCGTATCCAAATAAGGTATCAATGGCAAGAGAGAACAACAAGGTTTCTTCTCGAACACTCGCCGTAATAATTTATATCGGTGTTCTTGGAAAGAAAGTACCCTAAAGACGCTCAACTTTTTGAGCGCCACTTCTCGTTCGGGACCGCGATACTCAATAAATTGAGCGCCACGACAGACGACAGTCAGCTGGCACTCAAAAAATTGAGTGCCGGCCAGCATCTACACTCAATTTTTTGAGCGTTCTCCGTGACATGTGAAGCCGGTACTGGCTGCCTTTTTTGATGTTATGTTCGTTGAAATACGTTAAACTGAGTTGAAAAAAAGATATGCAGGAAGTTGAATGCTACGTGGTACCTAAACTTTTCACAAACCCATGGCATCATGTCACGTTTTCCGCTAGTGGTTTTATCGGTCGCCTTTCGGATTCGGCACACCTCAAATAATTAAACAGGGCTTGAATAATCCGCATGAATACTGTATTGATATTCTCTGACTGTAGTGGGAGAAGGGAATGCGTGAATACAGAAAGATATCCACCCACGCTTGAATATTGGAGAATTATAGCAGGAAAAACTGTATTGCCACGGTTACAACTTACAAGGCCATTGGCCGCAAACAAACAGAAATACTATACAATGTGGGTTAGATTCACAAACATCATCAAGTGTGGATCACAGAGACGAGCAAAACGACATCACATTATCGCATGCCAGCCCGACCTCATTGGAACCGGGTGACCTGCGACCGGAACCTGCGTCTTGCCAGCATACATCACGAAAGCAGGAGGCAGTGTCTTAATGCTTTGATCCAAAATATGCCATATAACAAATGATAAACGACCTAAGCTCGGACTAAGCTAATCATTATCAAATCCTTAACATGTAAAGGACGAATGGAAACATCGAGTATCAGACCAGCAGTAGCATAGCAACCCTATCACATCACAAAGAACACGCGGCATTATCAGACAGCCGTTTTGTTATCGGACTACAGGGCGTGGTAGCAGACCAGCTGCGAGGTAGCGGCGTGCGCAAAAGGGCGCGGGCACACCTTCATGTGACCGTGCGGACAGTGCACGCCCGGCGTCACATAGTGGGCGGCATCGGGCTGTCCCGGGCCAGCGTGCCCAGCCGTCGAAGCCGCACAGGTTGTCGGCGCATGTGGGCGCGCGCGGTCACCACGGCCAGCTGCTCACCGCCAGCACAGACTGCGCAGCGTCGCCGCTCCGCCGGCCAGAACACGCAGACAACCCTTCTTGCAGTTGCACAACACGTCGCCAAGCTCATTCACCTGCTCCACCACGTTGTTGACGTCACCGAGTCGTTCAAGTTGTGGCTCGTGCCGCCGAGCATGACCTGCCCGATCGGACACGGGTCAGCGGCTTCTGCTCCAGCGAAGTCTTCATCTTGGTGACGTCTTGCTGATCTCCACAAAGGCTGAGCAGATGACCTTACCCACAGGGACGGCCGACGTCCTCGCCAGCAACCGCTTGGTTGTGCAGATCTGCCGAAAAAAGAAAAGCTGTTGGTGATCTCAAATGATTTTCTTCTTTATGCAGTGGAACAAAATGGAAAATATGTCATACAACAAGAACTAAAAAAAGATGAATGGGTGCAACATTGTTAAAATTCTTCATTGAGTGAATTCTGCAAATGCTTTTGATGAAATGTGTGGTGATTATAAGGATCAACAGACCACTTTACTATAAAACTGCTCAGGATTCCCTGTCTGGACCTGTCAAAAAAAGTCCTGACTGCACACCAACAATGAGCATTTAATCCGAAACCTCTACCAGGTACCTAGGGATAATTAAATACAGGAAAATATTTCACATCATACAAATAAAAACCTTTACTATATTGAAACTGAAAATGTGATGTCGATCCAGTGACCTAAGGGTCTCAAAGTATGAATAATGAATTAATCTATATTATAAATATGGTGGTGACTGCCGACTGGCAACCTAGACCTTGAAAGTGGCCTTGCTTTTCCGTTGACTCCGATCCTCCAGATGGAAATTATATAAAGGATCATTTTTATCTTATTTCATATGAGCCAGTCAGCAAAGTAGCTATCCTGTTTCAGCATTCACACACACAATAGTTGACTGTCAGTCTGTCATGCTGCCAGTGTTCTGAAGTAACGAAGGAGTTGAGTTTTGTTGATTATAAATTGTGATGTTATGTAAAGGACTGGAAAATGAATGTGAAAACTATGAAAACATATTGGCAGAATATTTTCACTTACTATCAGGACATATGGATAGAGAATACATTCAAATTCACATGAAATGCCAAATTTCAAGGTACTCAATCACTGATAGCAGTGGACTATCATGTGTTAATGTCAATTATATGAAAGTTAAGACTGAAACTACCTTTTACCTTATCATACCTAATGAAAAATTGTGTGAATAAAACATTCACAGCTTCTTTGAAGCACTTGGACCACTAAAAAGCAAAAATTTTCACGTAAATATGTTGTGTCTCCTTCCTTCAAAACATCATATCGGATGGCGCCACTTTCGTAGACAGTTTCTTATCTGCACGCAAATCGAGGAAAACGTGAATTGATTGACGTTTACGTGTTTCCAAATTTAAAATTACAGCATATTCAAACTTTTCCTTGTACCTTTTAACATCTATGTATAACTAAAACGATAAAAACTTACCTTCAACACAAGGACGACGACAACCACGCGACCCGAGACATCGCGACGAAATAAACAAACGGCGCCGCCACACGAAAAATATTCTCCGATACGGGTAATGTGAAATTGAGTCGCAATCATTTTTGGTAGTATGAAAAATGCTCTTTCCAACAGAACCCTAGTAAAAAACGTGAATTGACAAAAAATCACTTTTATTTCAATATAAATATTGGCCTGTTTTTAAGTCATCCTGGCATGCCGTAAGATTTCGACCTATAAATTGGTGTTCCCCCAATCATTGAAGCCTGAGCAGTGAAAAATATGAAAGCCTAATCTGTTTTGCATCATTAGTCATTCTCCTAGGGTGTTGCCATTTCTCCCTGGGTGTTGCGAGTTGCTTTTGCAAAACGTGTTCCTGAAACGGCTCAATTTTTTGAGCCCTCAGCATTACGCCTATGGGAGCCTCTGACGTCACACGCTCAATATTTTGAGCGCTCAATAATTTGAGCTTTTCCCCCTTGTGCGTGGGACTGATAATGAGAAGGAGAATGGAGATGGATCATGGAATAGTTACCTTACCTTACCTTACCTTAGTTGGTCATCGGGTTATAAGGCCACTCGGCCTATGGGTCCCGCTCGTATCGAGTGAAAGGCATAATCGGAGAGGCTATGGTCCTTAGTACAGGGTAGGGATGTCGAACATCACGCTCGACCAGTGCCGGTCCAGCCGCGCCTTGAAAGACGACAGCGACTCAGCAGCGACGACGTCTGTTGGCAGGGCGTTCCAATCGTTGATGATTCTGACGCTGAACGCGTTCCTGCGAGAAAGATGCTTGGCGTTTGGTTTCCTCAGCTTCCACTGGTGGCCTCGCGTGTTTTGCGCTTCGTGTCTCGTCAGCAGTGACTCAAGCGGCACATCCAGAAGTCCGTGGAAGAGCTGGTACACGGTCACCATATCTCCACGACGACGGCGGTAGTGCAGCGATGGGAGGCCGAGGCGGCGAAGCCTGTCAGGGTACGGCAGGTCTCTGAGGTCCGTGATCAGGCGGGTCGCGCGTCGCTGCACCCTCTCCAGTTTCTTCTGGTCTTCTTTGGAGAATGGACCCCAGATGGCGTTCCCAAACTCGAGGAAGGGTCGGACTAAGGCCTTGAAAAGAAGAGGTAAAGTGAGCTCATCCAGGTTCGCAAACGACCGACGGATCACTGCGAGTATCTGTGAAGCCTTGGCGACGGCAGCGGCTGTCTGCTTGTGGAATCTCAGCTGCCTGTCGATGATAATACCTAGGTCTCGTTCCTCCTCGCAGGTGGCGACAGCAGTTCCATTCAAGTGGTACGTGCGGTCTGGGTTGTGGAAGCCTAGGTGCATGGTCTTGCACTTCGCACCATTAAAGGGGAGCAGCCATGTCTCCGACCAGCGGACCAGAGCGTCGATGTCGTCCTGCAGGCCATCGTGGTTGGCAGTCATCTTGCAGTACAGCTTGGTATCGTCTGCGAACATCTTCACTGTGTTGGTGACCTGTGCTGGCATGTCGTTCACATACACTGTGAAAAGTGCAGGACCGAGGACGGTGCCTTGCGGAATGCCGCTTGTTACTGGAGCCCAGGCTGACTTGCATCCCCGAACAACCACCCTTTGAAGGCGCTCAAACAGGAAGGCCTGGATCCAGTTCAGGAGTCGACCCGACACACCATAAGACCTCAACTTGCCTAGGAGTCGCTTGTGTGGTACCGAATCGAATGCCTTGGCGAAGTCTAAGTACGCCACATCAACAGGTACTCCCTCTTCCATGGCAGCAGTCCAGTCCTCAATCACCCCCAGGAGCTGTGAGGTGCAAGACCTTTTGGGGAGAAACCCATGCTGAGCCTGATGTAGCTGGCCAGTTGAGGTTAGGTGTGCAAGTAGGCTGTCCCTTACCAGTGACTCAAGCACTTTGCACGGCACTGCAGTGAGACTCACGGGTCTGTAGCTTGTTGGCTCCTGACGATCTCCTTTTTTGAAGATGGGCGTTATCTCCCCTGTCTTCCACTCTGCGGGTAAACATCCAGAGTCCAGAGATTTCCTGAAGAGGAGACTGAGGGGGTAAGATAAGACGCGCGCAGAGTTACGAAGTACACTGGGTCGGATACTGTCAGGCCCTGGGGAGCTTCGTGGGTTTAGTGCAGCCAGTTTTGCTTCAACCTTCTGGGGAGACACATCGACATCTTCCAGTGACGGTAGTTGTAAATTGTTTCGGAAGTGGCTAGCTTCTATAAATATTAATGCTTTGTGAAAATAACAACTTATTTGTCAAATTAAATAGTATCAAATAACAAATCAATCTATGCTTACCTCCCAGACTGGAAAAAAATTCACACACTGTCAGTGTCAGATGCGTCAGGGCCCAGGGGCTTTCGGGTCTCAAAATTCAGCGCAAGTGATTTCTCACCAAAATTTTGGCACATCTTTTGTGCAAAGTTGAAGCTCATTGTTACTTCTTTTCAATATTAGTTGTTGCCAGATTTTATAATTTGTATCTAAACTTTCAAATTTTGGATGCAAATTTTGAATTTAAAAGGATTTCTGACATGCTTATTGCTGAAAATCCCATTCTTGTTTATGTAAATGTTATGTAATTGACATTTGCTAACTAAACAAGCTCATCCTTATTCCTTGTCTAATGTCTATATATTGGTTTCTATTTATACCACCTGTGCTACTACTAATTTCTATTTGTTGAGACTATTTACCTAATGCATTTGCTTCATATGATTTTATACGCAGACGCACCTGTGCATGGAACAGTAATGCCAGACCCAAATTCAAAATATTAATGAAAAATTGTGTTATTTGCTTGTTTCACCTGAATTCTGAGTCAGGCCTGCAATCAATACATAAATATGAAATAGGTACATGTTTTGAGGCTTCATATCAGCACATAGAAAAGGCAATCGAAGAAAAGGCACCTTTGGGCATTGATTATTTTTGCTTGCCATCGCCTAGTCAATTTTTTCATGTTGCATTGTGTTAATAAACTTGGTAATGTGTTTTGCAGGTCCTGGGCTGGTCCTCTGGCGTGCAGGACGGCGAGGAGTGGCTACCTGCACATAACAACACAATGACTGGCATCGAGCTGAGGGTATAAAATCACATCATATCGACTTCAGCATCTGTCTCCCAGCTTTGGAGACGTCGCCCGACTCCCGAGTCCCTGAGTGGCGAGCGCCAGTTTCCGAAAGGAATTTGAGGAAGGCGACCCGAAAGCACCCGCTGGGCTGCCGACACTCCTGCGCTGCCAGCAGGGCGTGCTGCGCAGTGAAGCCTCGCTGCGTGGTCTGTACGACATCCGACACCGGCACCCAGACGTGCAGTTTCTGATGACATCCCACCTCAACCAGGGCTGCCCCGAGAATCTGCTAGTGCTGACTGCCTGCTGCTGAGGCCGACCTGCCGGACCTGTCGCCGCCCTGGTGAGCCTGAGCCGCCCTGGGACCTGCCGCCGCGTCTACGCTGCCGCCCTGGTGAAACTGCCGTCGCCCTGCCGAACCTGTCGCCGCCCTGGTGAGCCTGCGACCGCCCTGGGACCTGCTGCCACCCCGGCGGACCTGCCGCCGCGTCTACGCTTCCGCCCTGGTGAAACTGCCGTCGCCCTGCCGGACCTGTCGCCGCCCTGGTGAGCCTGCGGCCGCCCTGGATCTGCTGCCACCCCGGCGGACCTGCCGCCGCGTCTACGCTTCCGCCCTGGTGAAACTGCCGTCGCCCTGCCGGACCTGTCGCCGCCCTGGTGAGCCTGCGGCCGCCCTGGACCTGCTGCCACCCCGGCGGACCTGCCGCCACGTCTACGCTTCCGCCCTGGTGAAACTGCCGTCGCCCTGCCGGACCTGTCGCCGCCCTGGTGAGCCTGCGACCGCCCTGGGACCTGCTGCCACCCCAGCGGGCCTGCCGCCGCGTCTACGCTGCCGCCCTGGTGAAACAGGTCCGTCGTCGCCCTGCCGGACCTGTCGCCGCCCTGGTAAACCTGCTGCCGACCTGTCGCACTTGCCACCGCCCTGGTGAATCTGCTGCCGACTGCCTGACCTGTCGCTGCCGTGGTGAACCTGTTACCGACTTGCCGGACCTTTCTCGCCGCCTTGACGAGCTTGGGGAGCCTGTGCTGAGGTGCCACCGCTCTGTTTCACGTGTTATGTTGCCCGGTTCCTGGCTGTCGCGGAGTCAATCGGCACATTGTGTTTGGAGAGGCGACATCTTGTACAACTTTCCGACAGTTCGGAGCATTTTATTGTACCTACTCAAGTCGCAAGAGATTAGGCTTGTGCCTTATTTGTCCTCTACCAATCTGTCCAATATGGTTTTTTATAACTACGATTTATGGTATGACATAAACCGGTATATTGTGTACGCATTTGGTTCGTTCCAGTCAGAAGTTTGGAATGTGTACATATACTTGTGTTACGGTACAATTTCGGTTTGTGCAGTTCACACAACCTCTCTTAATTATGGGGCGAAATAGACGCAAAACCAGGGCTGCGGAGTCGGAGTCAGGGTCGACAGTTCTGACCGGACTCGGAGTCGATTTTGGAAACCGAGTCGGAGTCGGGGTCACCGAAAATCCATCGGCTCCGCCAGGGCTGCGGAGTCGATGGATTTTCGGCGACTCCGACTCCGACTCCGACTCCGGCTTTAAAAAACCAGCTCCGACTCCGACTCCGGGCAGAATTGTCGACTCCGACCGACTCCAACTCCCGACTCCGACTCCGCAGACCTAGCAGGGCTGCGGAGTCGACATATTTTCGGTGACTCCGACTCCGACTCCGGCTCGGGTTTCTAAAATCGACTCCGACTCCGACTCCGCAGTCCTGGCCGCTCCGCAGATCTGGCAGGGCTGCGGAGTCGGAGTTAGAGTCGGTAGGAGTTGATAACCCAGCCCGGAGTCGGAGTCGGAGTTGGTTTTTGGAAGTCGCGGTTGGAGTCAGAGTCACCAGAAATCCATTGACTCCGAAGCCTCGCGCAAAACTATGGCGATTTTCATCTACGAGAGGGCCGCCGATGTGCTGGCCAGATCACCGGCGGGGCGTACGTTGGCTCGGTCCGATCGCAATAATGTCGCCAAATCTTTGGTTCGAGTAACAGCTGGTCCTGATTTGCTTCACTGAGGAAACATCACACCGTTCTGCCTTGCATCGGACGTCAAAACTGCACTAAAATCCGCTGAAAACGTATTTAAACGTCCGTCCTCCATAATGGCTACGGACGGCGGCCGGCGAGTTACCATCCCAGTGACGTCATTCGGGCCCGGTAGGGGGACGGTAAAAAAAAGCCTGATGACCATACCTGGTTATATGGCCTTGAATGCAACCAACGCTTGTACCGCTTGTACATACATTTCACTGACTTCACTGTAATCCATTGCTACCCTAAAATCACGAGGTATGTGCGCAAGCTGAAAATTAAATATGTTTTCGACCTAATTGCTCAGTTAAAACTTCTTGTTGGTTTTTGTTACAATAACTACGATTAATTTCTGTGTTACAGGATGAATTTTTTTTTATCTAAAATAACAAATTTTATTTCAACATAATCCAAAAGGTCACGTGACTTTTGAATGAGGCTAAGGGCTACGCACCGAGAAGTCTTTGCTGCGTGAGTATTGGATCGTACATGATAAACAGAAAATAGTGTATGGGGTTGCATGGGAAAGATTGCTGGATATTCTTTGTACGGTTCAATTTCAAGTGGTTCATTCAAAACATATAGCAGGAAGAGTTCTCAAGCACAACCTTGTTCAGTAGATTCCAAGCAGCCTCCACATCCTGTTGAACTTTAGGTAATATAAGAACTTGACTCACTTGACTTGAGGGGAAAGTCAAGTCTCTGTCACTTTTCTCTTCTCTGAGGTCAACTTGTCAAATTTTGTCAACTGAGGCCAGTTTTACCAACAGAAAAATAGCCGCCTACTGGAATTTTTTGCCTGAAGACTGCTTCACACACGGAGCGTAAACGTGATGGGCACGTAAGCGGAAAGGGCCTTATCTTTTATGTTCCGTATGTGAAGTGGTCTTAAGCCAAAAAATTCCAGCAGGCGGCTATTTTTCTGTTGGTAGAACTGGCCTCAGGCCTATAATTTCTTTGTCAATCTTCTTTCAGTCACGTTCTCCTTTCACTAAAATGCTACCTATACGGACTGATGATTTTGGGTTTGGTTTGTTTGTAACCTATTGTAGTGATCTTTTAGTATCTCAATCTTTGCTTTTCAATGTGCATGGTGTTTCACTGCTTGTCACTTAAGACATTTTTTCAATAAAGCCAGACCAAAGCCATGGTTAACTCAAAGGGTATACCTATTGTTGACTTTTGCTAGTCACAGCAACAAAAGGTGCAATGCCAAACACCTTAAGATTGGGTTCACCATTTGTTGGGTTTTACCATATCAACTATAAGGATTTATTTCAAAGATTAAATCTTTCTGTATTTCAGATTTATCTGATTTCTGCATCCATATCATGAATAATCAAGAAAATGGATTCAACCTTGAAAGGTAAGAGCTCTTAAAGGGCTGGAAATAATATTTTGATTGAGGATTCAGCCTAAAATCCTTGTATTCCAAGCATATATAATTTTCTTCATTTTTTTAAGGGAAAAGTTCAATGAGCTGCCCTGATTTACTCATGCATAATTTTTACAATGACTCAATGGCCAGTGTGTGTGTTACCACCGCACATCCCAGGAGCAATGGACAACACCACTAATGGGAAGGCTCATCCCAATTCAGCAGAATTGATAATCCCTCTTCCCTCATTTATTGTGTGCTGATGCCTCTTGTTTTTGCTGTCCAGAGTTGAAGAGTCGATGGATTTTTGGTGACTTTGGCTCTAACTCTGGCTTCCAAGAATCAACTGTGAGTCTGACTGGGCAGAACTGATGACTCTGACTGACTCTGACTCCACCTCTGCAGACCTGACAGTTCAGTGGAGTCATTGGACTTTTGTTAACTTCGACTCTGACTTCAGCTTCCAAAAGCAACTCCAACTCTGATTCCGGTCGGAACTATCGGCTCCGACTTACTTCGACTCCTACTTTGACTCTGCAGCCCTGGTGCTGCCCTGGTGCTGCCCATTGACTCATTTATCGTCACAGGGTTGGCCAGAAGCGGGAGCGTGACGATGACGAAATGGACAGCGAGTGTCTGCCGATCTCTAAACGAATCAACAGTCTCTCACTCAACACGCAATACGGACAGGGGGTAAGTCACCGACCCGCCATCGAGGCGATTGCTCCCTTATTTGCCAGAGACATGATTTGATTTTCAGTGGTGCATCTAAGTCGCATAATACAGTCGTTCGTCACATTTGATCATTGACTATCGATCATTCATTGTTTCGCGCAAATGTAACCGCTACTTTCTTTAGCAGTTAGCACGCATTGCTTTCAATGCGTTTGACAATCGTCACCTGTCAACCCATGTCTGATTTGTCTCATTTCGCCGTGAGCATCGTCACCTCTGACAGTGCCCTCTGTTCCCTCTAGGTAAGCTCCAACGGTTGGTCGGCGGCCGGACCGTCGAACGCTCTCCCCACCCCCTCCCCCTCCACCGACCCGCCTCTGCACATGCCAGTGTTGGTGAATGGCTCCGCCCCTGCCCCTGTCGTATCTACCCCGGCACCGGCGCCGCTGCCTGCGGAGCCGGACCTGAGTCCAGAGGAGTGTCCAGAGTACTTCTCCATAAACTGTTATCTGTATCAGCTACATATGGAAAGATTGAGGCGAAGGCAAGCAGGTGGTCAGTTCTAAATTTTGATCGTCGCTCATCCGTTGCTATCTGTTGTAACTGCATATTGAGAGATTGTGAAGACGGCAGGCTGGTGGCCAGTTTTGAACGCTATCTTAGTGTTCCAGCTGAAGAGATAACGGACCGCCCACGCAGAGCAGATGGTGTGCATCTGATTGTAAAGACAGCAGAATGTTTTCTCCTGGTTTTCTCCTGGCAGTTTCTGTCTTCTGGCGTCTCCTGTCGTCTCCTTGCTCTTATGAACAGATTGTTGAATTGAGAAAAGGCTGTACTGGTACGTGGATATTCTAGAGAGAAGGGACCAGTTGCCGTTCGCTCAGGTAATGTCACCGGCTTACTAAGCCTTGTGAACGCGAAAAGTGTGTGGTTGGTTGTTCATACGGTTTGTATTGCCCTACGTGTGTGGGTCGTTTTACACAAGCCATGTGTAATACTGTTAGTGAACAATAACCTGCCATTTGTAAGTGTGATTGCAGTTGAGTTCGATAAGTGACGTGTTGATATTGTGTGTGCTAACCGATTATGAATACTGCTCTAGCTAGTCCTGAGGTGTCGCTTTTTGCAGCGGGCTGTGCTCCTTGCGTGGTCGATTTTCTGGATGCGCTAATTTCAGCGCACCTGCTGTCTGTGATGGCTTGTTTGCAAGACCAGTTATTGCTTGTTCTGATGTCAGATTGAGTCGCTTAGTCAAATTTGCTGTTAGTGCTGTTAATTCAAGACGCAGATGTCCGTTTTCTGGAAACTCAAAGACAGACAATAACTGAACGTACGCATAGGTTGTGGATTTTTGGAATGATCGTGCTTGCAGTCTCAACACTGAGCGTAATGGAAACCATATGTAAGTGCTGTGATCTGTATAGACTTGTGTCGGCTCCCATGTCTGAGCAGTTAGTTGAGCGGAGAGTCACTAGGAGGTGCTGAGAGCATTTTCATTCGAGATGCTTACGTTCGCTTGCTTTCAATCTGTCAGCATTAAAGCCTAGAACATGCCGCCAAGGGCGGATCTAGGGGGTCGTTTTGGGGGGGGTCACCAGTCGGCCGACATACCAGGTCTGGTGAATGAATTCTGACGACCGGGGGGGGGGGGGGGTAGGGAGCGAGTATGTCGAGATCAAAAAATGACATTTGATCTTCGTCGTTTATAAGATGAAGTTTTATCGTAAGTCACTCGGCTCAGTAGTTTTAGTTAGTGAAACCCACCTATATAGGAGCGTCGCCACGGATTTTTTACTGGGGGGGGGGGGGAGGCGGGTCGACCGACTTAAAAACCCAGAAGTAGATATAGTTACCTCACTTTTAGCCTAATGCATTAGTAAATAGTAGCATACAGTCACGATCTCTCTTATTGACCTGTGTATGAATCGGCGGCGCGAAGCGCCGCAAAAATTTGCAAAAAAAGTTGTCAAAACACAGCTCTAAAACACAAATATTACAACCTTTTTAGCATGCTAGTACAAGCCGGAGTTCCTTCACAGTACACATATGAATTCCGATTCAATTTGACACGGTTGGTGTTATTACAGTCACTGTTATTTCTCTCTTATTGATTGGTGTATAAATCGGCGGCGCGAAGCGCCGAGAAAATTTGCAAAAGAATGTGTCGAAACACAGCTCCAAAACACAAATTTTACCACCCTTTTAGCATTGCAGTACAAGCCGGAGTTCCTTTACAGCACACATATGAATTCTGATTCAATTTGACACGGTTGGTTTATGTAATTACAGTCAAGATTTCGTATTGACCTGTACGTATGTACATAAATCGGCGGCGCGAAGCGCCGCGAAAAATTTGCAAAAACATTTGTCAAAACACAGAGGGGGCCTCCTCTCTACAGAGGACCACCGATCTCTACTGCGGGCCTCCTCTTTTCACAGGGCCTCTTAACTACAGAAGCTACAGGGCCTCCTCTCTACAGAGGGCTTCCTCTCTACTGAGGGTCTCTCCCTTTAAGAGGGCCTCCTTTACAGAGGGCCTCCTCTCTTCAAAGAGCCAGAGGACCTCATCTCTGCAAAGGGCCTCCTCTCTTCAGAGGGCCTCTTCTCTACAGAGGGCCTCCTTTCTTCAGAGGGCCTCTTCTCTACAGCGGGTCTCCACTCTTCAGAGGGCCTTCTGCATTCAGGCGGTCTCCTTTCCACAGAGGGCCTCCTCTCTACACAGGGCCTCCTCTCTACATAGAGCCTTCTCTCTACAGCAGGTCTCCTCTCTACAGAGGGCCTCCTCTTTAAAGGGGTCTCCTCTCTACAGGGGGCCTCCTCTCTACTGAGGGCCTCCTTTCTACAGAGGACCTCCTCTACAGAGGGCCTCCTACCTACTGAGGAGTCAGAGGGGCCCTAGCGGTCAGACACAGACACTAGCGGTTATTCACTGGAGGCCCCAGGAAGTAAGAAGGGCCCTAGCTGTCAGGCTGGTCAGAGGGCCCTGAATGTCCTGACGTGATTTTTGGGATTCCCGTGAATTTCTTTCGCCTCAGACGTGATTTTGACCTGCCAGGGCCCAGGGGCACTAAAAATAAAACAAACAAAATAAAAAATGAAAATAGGACATCACCAAAATTAAGTGACCGAAATCCGTTGAGTTTTTAATTTTGCGTATAGGTAGGGGCACCACGAATTAAATTCATGACCATCCCCTTGGAGTTTTCCTGGATCATCCCCTGGTGCTCGCACGGTTGAGACAAAAACGAGTAAGATTCTGGTCTTCAATACGCCTTTTCACGCAACACGATCCAGAAAAACAAAGGTATTAGCTCAGAAGTGTTTGACAGGTGATTTTGAGCATGCAAGACGGCGTCTATAGCGCATTTAGGTCTTCGGCTTTTGGGGGGGGTCAAATGACCCTCTCAGACCTTTTGGGGGGGGTCATGACCCCGTGGACCCCCCCCAGGATCCGCCAGTGCATGCCGCGTCACATCACACTTTACAACGTGTGGCTGCCACGCCTGTCAGTTTCCAGTGTGCTGCGCACAACGCTACCGCGCATGCACCAAATGAACGGCATCTTTGGATAATACCGAACACCGGACGCTGAATCTCGCTCTTTGTCCTTCTTTATGTGCCTGGCCACTTCGGCATGATTTGTTGAAATTAACGTGAAATGTCAGGAACTCCACGCTGCAGGCAAAAGATGTCTTCAACTTGACCGCTGTTCACCCAAAGTGTCTTCTGAAGTTATGTTTAGTGTCTGCTCGGACTGTGGCTAGTCATTGTCGGCATTTGAGGCCATAATCAAGCCAAGCTCTCAGCCTTTATCCCAAACTGATCTCACCGTTTCTAACTGCGTTGATCTTGCCTTGCTTTGGTTTGTGAAGCAAAGGTAATTAATATACTGAAGCGAGTGCAAACCGCAGTGATGTCTGATTTTGTGTTGTGAACTGGGAGTGTCTGCTGCTATAGTCAGAATTCTTAGTGCTCCGTTTATTCATTTCACTGGCATCCTAAACCGACAGCTAAAAGATACAGTTGTCACTTAAATGCCACCACTTGGCTTTAACGTTTCGCCTACATTGGCTTTACCCTGCCCGACGATCCATTATGAATGTAGCCTAAAAGTAATGATCGTTGGATATGGGTGCACGCTGACGCTTCTATTGTATATCGTAGTGTAGTCACGAGTCACGACATGCTACATTCCCTCAAACCTAGTCGAGTAGAATGGGTACGGGAAATGACAGCTCTACGTGCGCAAGGGATTTCCATTCCACGAGACCGTTTCTACGACTGATAATTACGGATCGAATCAGCTAGTAAGGCTCTACTGGCTGATCGTATGGACGGCAGCAAAGGCACGTCTGAACAGATAACAACCCATCTTGTGCACAACCTGAAGCAGGGAGTCCACCGACACTCCCAGCAGAAGGCTCAACACTCCCCCAGCCTCCCCGATGACCGCCGAGGCGCCGTAAGCCCACTGCTCTCGGTACAGGTGCACCGGCTCGCCAGCGTAGTACACCCGTACCGAAAACTTCCTCAGACGGGTCTCATCCTGACCTTGACTGATGCTCGGCACGGCAAGATATCGTCGCTGATGACAGGGTCTTGGGCACCGCTGGCGGCACGGTTCCATTGCCGCCTGAACGCCAGCCGCCGTCACGAACGCCCTCTGGACAAATGAGTAGTTCGCAAAGTTGTCGCAGAGCGGCGCTGTGGTCGGTAAGTCGGTGGAACGGCAGTCGAGTCCGGTGGAGGCGACGGCAGCTTCAGCGTAGCAAAGCAGGGCACATTGGACGCTGTTGTAGTCGGCTCTTGACTCACAGGGTAGATGACGCTGGCTGACACGTTCTATATCATCCATGGTGACGCGAATCTCCGCTTGTCCCCCCGGTATGACATAGAGCGGCTCTTGGGGCTGGATCCAGGGAAGCGGAGAGAACGGCTCGTTAGCCGGATGAATGTGCACGGAAATCCGCATAGATCCACGCTCCAGGCTCACTTGGATAAGTTTCTCACCACGTAGTTCATGCATGGTTTCCTTGATTGAGCTGTAAACACTCCGTGGTAACAGGAAAGTGACCTGATAACCATCACCAACCGGGATGCGTTCGCTGGCGTTTGGGGTGAAGGTAAAACAATCTCCTGTGGCGCTATGAAGTCGTCGGGTCCAAGTACCCACCTCTGTACACGGCCGCCCCACCAGCCAGCAATCTTCCAGTGCGCGCTCCGCGTCTACAAATGCCGAGCGCAGTAGAAACGGGATGGTGTCATTACCGTGCTCATCCCACGACAAGTCTGAGATTTTCTGGTTCTGGAAACTTTCGAACAGCCAGTCAGTACTTAGCCCGTCGATGAGCGGGTTACAGAGTGTAATAGCCGGTGCCGGAAGATAACTGAAATACATCGTATCGCGGTGACCGCTCACAGGTTCGGCCAGGTACCGGCGAACGCAGTCAGAGACCTGTATCAGGGCGTAGCCGGCCGCTAGACTCCAAAACGCCCAGTAGACGAGACGGTGACAAGGCGGCACAGGCGGTGGAGCCATCGCGATTCACGACCTTCTGCAGCTGGAGTTTCGAGAAGATAGCAAGACGGTAACAAGTTGAGCTCCTTCCTTCCCTGATATCAAGTTGTAGGTACAGTCTCGCGGGTTTGAACGGCAGGTTTTGCACCTATGGAATTTAGTATACTTCAGGTTATATCTTGATATTGATCGTATTAAGCTTAAGCTAAGAGTGTTGAAGATGCGATAGACTTGCTCGTTCACAAGCCTGCTATGATCGTTTAAAATGGCTTCATCGTAGATCGATTAGTTTCTGAGCTATAACCGGAAATGTGAAAAGGGCAAAACCTACCGCTTAATCTCGCGAGAGCCGTACCTGTCAGGTAAAGCTGTCCTTCCTGGCCCGTGGTCTTCCCATACTGTCGAGTAGGGCCTCCTTACACACTGAGCAATTCCAATTCGGAGTAGTCGAAGCTACCTTCCTTGGCCTTTCCCTGGCCCTGCTCTGTTCCGAATGCCTCATTCACTTGCCAAGGTCTGGTGTGTCTACCTTTTCTGGTGCGGTGTCCTACCTTTCAAGTGATTACATGCCGACATTTATTCATCGCAGCCCCAACGTCACCAGACGAAATGTGTCAATTTTTGTATTGCCGCGCATTCACATGACCACCATTTGTATGTCGGCGACACGGCGCATGAAAGTCTGTTTGCCTTTAACCGGCGAAGTTGACATTCACTGTACACTAGCTCTGCGACCACTTTGTTTGAGCGGTGTTTGAGCGGCAAACTTCCGATCTTAACCATTCAATGAAAGTATTCGCAAACTATTCCGCCCAGTGAAGGTCGCTAATGCCTGCATGGCGTTTTGTGTGATGGGCGACCCGGCGGAACTGTCTTGTCGCCTTCCAGTCCGTTAGCGCGGTCAACGATAATGGACCGATTCGGCGTCAATAAGTCGACGAGTTGTGCCACTCGGTGACATTTACATAGTGTCACTTCTAGTGCCTGACAGAGTGAAATTCAATGAAAAGGCTACGCCGCATAAAATGCGCAGCGAAACTGAACGAGCAGGTATTGTGCTGAATTGAGCAATTACAAAGTGTAAATATGTTGCATGGTCGCTTGGATCAACGGGTGCCATAGGCCATGGGCCATGAGGATATGCAGTTATGCACCCCAATAGATATTGAACATTGGAGCAGTCGGATCAATTGTCCTAATGTTCAGATACGTCCGAGGTGACAGCGTCAAGTGTTGTTTCTTTGCGGGGAAACGACAAAATTTCTTTAAATTGTTAAATGTCTCGGACCTGCGAGGGAAAGTGTACCGAATGCCCTTCCTTCTCGGGTAGCATTTTTAAGCTTAGCACCAGCAGTTTTGCAGTCAGAATGGATTATTGACATTCGATGACCTTTAATGACAACATTTTGCATCGTCACCTACAGCTTTCAACGTGGATAATTGTGTTTCATATTTTATATTTTGTTTCATTTCAGAATTTTGTTTTTGATACATCGCAGAACGATTTTAACCGTTAAATCGAATCGTTTCTCCTCCATTGTAACGTCCCTGCAGTCCGAGCCTTTAGAGAACGGCTATTGTATTTTCTTATTCGTGGGTTCGTCCGTCTATGGTAATGTACCTAAGTGAGCTCGCAGTTGCAGGATCGTAGGTTTCTACACAAGCTGCGCTAAAATGCATCGGCAGTCACACTCCATGGTTCTGAGATGATCATTGATCAGGATGATGAGATCCTCATCTATACTATAACCCATGCATCGACTGCGGCCCGCGGTAGCCCTTCCGTCCTAATTTAATTCTGAGCCGAGCAACGGTGGGCTCGCATCCATCATCAGACTATCAGCGTTATCCACCACTATCCAACAGTATTCAGGACCCACTCTCCGCTATCCACCATTATCCATCAGACCATCAGCCTCCACGCTCCTATATCTGTCCGATCTGATCTTCCCTGAACTCAGCAGCCCCGTAATCGCATTATGACCCTCTACCCCAGTCCACCCGTCCTGATCCGACGACCTCAGCATCGCTGGAATCTTAGATCTACAAAACCAAAACCATAGTCATAGTCTGTCCATCTGTATCCCTTATCAGCCCACCTCCACGCAAAGCTGTTCTCATCAGTGCACCCCGAGTGGAAGCCTCTTCCCGATACCTATCTATCGTATCAGCTGATCAGTCAGCTCGGACGGACCTCTGACGTCACTGGTTCCGATCGATCGGATGCTAGCGTGCGACTCTGGCGGCAGCGGCGACCGAGAGAGGGGGATTCGTCTGGCGGGCGACGAGAGAGCGCGTCAGTGTGAATCCGGCGGTCGGCGTGAGATCAGCGTGTCAGCGCTACTGAGCTGGGTTCAAGCGTGGACGAAGAATGGATAAGGAGACACTGACAAAGCAGATTGAGAACATGAAGTATCAGGCAGCGATGGAGAGGTGGCCACTGAGCAAGAGCATAGCCTCGTGAGTATGGCGCTGGGGGGAGGGGAGGGGCGGGGCTGGCACGTGCCGCTCAGCCAACGATTGTTCCGTCAATGCCAGTGGTGCTTACTGTGGTAGCCTAAGTTTTGATGTGAAGGCAATAAGGCATTTATTGCCGAAACTTTTACATGTAATTGCAATATGAATGGTGTATTACATTGGTCAACACAAGTGCAAAGATACGTTTGCACTTTGGACCGTGCACACGCCTTGCTAGCATAGCAATTAGAAAGTTGATGCTAACCGCATTCCCATCCATTTGCTCGGTAAATAGGGCTTCGTTGTGTATGACAATGACACATTTAGGTATTAATCTCTTTATTACAGCATTCCAAAATTAATTGGTTTTTCGTTAACGATGCCGGAACCATTGTCAAAACAGAATTTATCACCTGACAAGCATGAGCTGTTCTGTCAAGGATTCTGCAACGATGAGGTTGAACTTTGAGTTTAATTATAAGAACAGGGTAAAATTCGCATTGTCAGGCACTGTTATTCGACACGGCACTAATCAATTAGTGTATCGCCAATATGCATCTCACACCTACGTGCCGTCCAAACATGAAGCCAATAAAATGAGCAAATGATAAAGGCTCATTTATTATTTTTAGGACAACAAAATGCGCTTCCATTTCCCAAACAAGCGAGTCGGGAATCGCTGATCGTGTATAATTGCACGTAGTTTGTGCATGGCGAGTAAGTCGGTGTTTATCGTCATTATCAGAGATGGAGGTCGTTGGACGCAGAACGCTCTCTTCCTCTAACTGGCTTCGATCTGAGGCCGCATGAATGATTCATATTTCCTTCACGGTGGCTGAACAAATATTTTGTAGACAGGATTATGCAGCAGGCGTAGTAATCCGTCTTTTGGCCCTGAAGGGAGACATGGGGGGGGCAAGGGCGGGGGCTGAATTAATAGTCCCCAAAACTGGCCAAATATTATACGTCTTACGTGCATAAATTCAACACGGACGCGAAAACGCTGAACTCTTTTGCTTATTTAGATTCGCTTTTATGTATCCAAAAGCGGCAGGAAATAAACATTCTTGATGATGCAATGGCAGATCAACACTATGATTAGTGTCGTTGATGTTTTTTTTTATCTTTTCTTTTAGCAAAACATGCACTTTTTTAATTTCATTATATTGTATCAGGCTTATACAATTATGGTACATTTAAAACTCCGCAGCCCTAACAGGGTACTTCAAGTGCAGTTATAACCTTCGCCGGGAGGAAAATCACGCTAGTGTTATCGTTATCGAGTGGCTACAGCAATCGACGAAATCACGCTGGGCTAGACAGGTTAACAGGGAAGATTTGCTATCGCGTTGAACTTTTATCATCTAGCGCTTCTTCATATGTAGCGTAAAGGTGGATAGGACACGAGATCATGCGATGTAATAAAAATAGGCACAGCGAGCACCAAAACGCACCGTATTCAGAAGCACACACATACAACGAAGATCGAGATAAGGAGAGATAACAAAGACGGTGGCTAACGCACTTCAGGACCTCGGCGACCAATAGACTATAGAGACAACCGTAATCGGATTGTAAACTGACTGCAGTAAACAGAGTTGCCGATTGTAAAACAGGAACTGTGAGCACTGAAATTCTAACGTAGGAGGTCGATTTTTACATGAATGGTATGGTGTGATACCGAACTAGAAATGAAAACATGTCCATGAATGTTGAAGAAAATACTTACGAAAATAAGGATAATGACAAATGGCCTCACAATGTTAATAATCATAGCTAGAATTGTTAACACTGCCAATACTCAGCTACCGGGTGTTTCCTTGTTAGTTGGTTTTTACAAAGCTCCTATATCATTTCAGATTACGGGAGTTTATCGAAGAGAATGAGAAAACAGATCCTCTCATCTACGCGGTCGACAAGAAAAACAATCCGTGGGCAGAAAAAGGAAAGTGCATGCTAATGTAAAACTGACAAGCAACACAACGGAACAGCGAACAAAACGTGCCCAGATGAGCGTCTCCCTCAGCGACCATTGCTAACGAAAAATGACATTTCCCGAAGAAACGCCCTCTCCCGGAAATGCTCGAAGAATGATGACGTGTCGCCACTCTCGGCTAGCGGTGCACACTGTAATAGAACAGGATGGATGGAGGGCGGTGCAGCCACTCCCCTCCAGTAATGGTGAGGGAATAGTTGGACATTGGTTCGCGACAAGTAGGTGTTCAGAGTTCTGTTCAAGATGGGTTTTAAGGGTATGATGTATTGTCAGTTTGTTAGTATCGTGTTAATGCGCCTAGATCACGTCCTTCGTGACGTATAAGGCGCTTCCAGTTTATCCCGCAATATGTCTTGCGTTGTAGTCATTTGTTGAGATCCCAGGGTCCGCCTCTCTACCCTTTCATGGGATTATGATAGTCACCGTTTAATTTCTAGTCTGACATGTAAGTCACAGAGTACATGGTGCTGTGTTCAGGATAACTAAATGAGAGTTCATGTAGATTGTGGTCATAATTGGGTACATATGAGTTTGTGAAAATGTAACGGTTTTAATAGTCATCGTCTCGATTAAGGTCACAATCTAGTCGGTAAATACCATTGATAATTATTTATTAACTCGTCTGTATTGACGCCTAGGTAGCTCGGGTTTCTCACACGAAGGGGCCAAACTGAATAATTAATACCGGAGCGTCCCTACAAAGAAGATGAAACTCCACTTGTTGAGACCGATACAAGCGCCAAATATCTTCTTACCAACAGACATGCTAATGAGCGTTGAACACCCATAGCCATACAGCTTACCTCATGCAGCAAGAATGTGAGAATGTGTATGTGCTGGCAATTCGTAGGATATGTTTCCAGGAGTTGGCTGGATACTCTATCTCAGGTAAATAGCTCACTTTAGCCTTCACGTACAGTGCCACATAAAGGGACGGGAACTGTGTTTTTTATTTATTTACGACCGAATTATTTAAGCATTTTTTCCTCGCAACATTTCGGGTATTATGCATTACGATTTACTGTTGTTTGTTGTCATTGACATATTTTCTATTTATCGTTACAGATGAGTCCTATATCTGTTAGTCTCGGAAGGGCTTCGTGACGTCGTTTCATTACGTACTGATTTGTATTGATTGTTTAACTCAAAATAAATACGTTTGGAAAAGCAGGCATTATCATGTTGTTAAAAATAAATTGTCAGTATCGTCTGTGCGTACATACTAGAATGATTATTGTGTTGATTTGAGGGTTGTCAATAAATGACATCGATTTAGAGCTAGCCTGTGTTTTGTTTTGACCATAGCGTTCATCCCATTCCAGGTCTAATAGATAGGATGGCGTTATTATTATGACAGGACGGCTACCCTGTTTTAGCCCAAGCCCTACGTAAATTTGGCGCACTACGCTATACCTTCAATTTGCAAAGCACCCTTTGAGACACGACATGCATATGTTCGTTATTTTACTCCCTTCTACAGACCAATAACAAGAAACGTAACGCATATAGAAGAAAAGGGTGATTTTTATGGTGTTTTAATACAATGTTTAATATATGTTCAAAACTGATCACTATAATAACTTACATACAAACATAATGCATTCATTGCCCTATTATGCCCTTATTTCATCATTCTATATACATAGATGATTATTCAAATACGTGATAGATAGGTACACGTGAATAATTAATTAAATGATGTGTTAATTTAACCCTCGCATGTGTGCGGCGTTTTCCAGCTTCTAATGTGTAGGGGGGGGGGGGGTCGGTTGGACCCCCCCCCTTGCCGTTTGGCCCCTGATCGAGCTAGAGCTTCGCGGAAAAAACGAGCGTGTTGCCCGTGACGAGAGGAAGCCGATGATACCCAATTTTAAGGTCCTAGGTCATTGGTTGACCTTCCAGGTCAGGTCAATGACCCAAAGTCGGGAAAATCGGGACCTATTAGAAAGTCGTAAAGTGTGGCTGCTAAGGGGTTTTTCGGGGTGCTGATCACGAATATCGTGTTAGTTTTGACCACAGATGATGTCTTTAAGCATTTAGACCAGGTCGGGTCAGGTCAGGTCAGGTCAATCAGTAGGCGTCGTGACGGGTATTCGTAGTACGTGTCAACCGCCTCTGACAGCTTCGTAACATGTTACGAAGGCACCAAAACTACTTCGTAAATGTTCAAATGGTTGCCAAATTCGAATTCAGCTCCAAAAACTAGCCTAGAAACATGTAAAACTCGAAAAAGTGAACCGAGGTCACCCGAGGTCACCAAAGGTCAATGACCTGACCTGACCTTCAGGTGACCTTGACACCCACCCTAATGCATGGGAGCAACATCAAATCACATGTTTGAACGTTTGAAACCACGAAAAGCTTGCAAACGCGCGGCTAATGCGAGCCGACGTACGCCGAATCGCGATTCCGGCCAAACATGGTCTCGGAAAAGAGGTCACAGGTCAAAGGTCATTTGGGTCAGGGTCATGAAATTTTCAGGGTAGGTGTCAAATTGTTCAATGCGAGGGTACTGAAAGTTTCGTCGCGATCGACCGCTTTTTACGCGAGTTATTCGCGAAAAACCATGGGGGGGGGGTCCATCCGACCCCCCCCCCCCTACACATGCGAGGGTTAAACATTATTTCTCGATAACCTTATCATGGTAATAATGTGAACTTCAACATGAATAATGCCTCAACACTGCACTGACCGTAAACAACGTGACGCTGAACATTGCAATTTGCAGCTCTGCAACTTGGCTGCACCGGGCTCTCAGGAAGTTTCTGCAATCCTGATACAGGCATTGCCGTTTTGCAGCTGAGGAGGTTTTCAGCTGTGTAGGTATGTGATCTCTTCAACGATACTGCTTTTTCCTTGAATTACAGAAAAATCACCGCAGAAATAGCATGGATCCTCATGACATTAGCAACGCTCAGGAAATGAAACGAGCTCCCTCAGGTCAAATGAGTCCTCATAGGAATGGGATAACCGTTTCTGAAATTGCTGTGGACCTCCAAAGACTGATTCACCTCTCTAGAAAATGAGTCGCCTCTTTAAGGACTTTATGGGTAGATTCAAAGATGAATTCCTAGGTAAAGTGATGATGGATTAGTGATATTATCATAAGAATATAATATTGAATAGTGTATAACAAAATGAAAAATAATATAATTACATTAAATAATACAGAAGCACTTAGTACGACATGGGTAGGTAGGTACCTACCAACTAAGACCAGCACTAGCCTCTAAGCCTCTGTTGCCTGTTGACATCATTATTATGTTTATCTGAGTTCCATAGCAATAGCGCAATCGATGCCAATACGGAGGTCCGGCCGGTCGGACCACGCCATCGAGTCACTGTGACTACACCCCTGTTACCGGGAGGGTGACTCAAGACCCGCTCCAAGACGACAGTTACACTACACCACCGAATGGCTTCTGCATAGGTAGATCAGGTAACTGAGAGGGATGGAATGTGTGTAGTTTCCGTAGGGGAGGTCATTATCCTGCAGGTTGGAGGATAGGGATGGCCGATTGGCCGCAGTATTGTGTGGTGAAACTGGGAATGTACCAATGCCTTGCAAAGTGGGCTAGGAAATTACGGACCTTCGCCGGCCGCAGTGGGTCTCAAGTGAACCGTCAACCTTGATGTGGGGGGGGAGGCAATGTTTCGCCCCTCTGTAAAATACCTCCGATTATCTTCATAAATTTTCTATATTTCAGCCTGAATAATTAATTATCTACGAAATCAGATGTTAAGTGCGCTTAAAGTAATAAACGTACCTTACCATGTCTTTTGCAGAACTACCCACGGTGTTTTACTTCCATGCTGCACGCTAGCATTCAACAAGTGATATGGCTCAAGATAAGCGAAAACAAATAATGCAAGCATCATTCAAACGTAGCTCCTGTTATCGAATTACTATACTATTCATCCTCTTGCATTTCCATGCCGAACATTCTCAGGCCAACAAGTATGGCATTCGATGCCGCGGAAGAGGTCTGATATTTCCATCACCAACAGCTGAATACCAAACAAGCAGTCATCTCCGCTGTCTCCAGCTTTGCAAATTTGATTCCAGCTGTACCGCCATCAGTTACAGCAGCTCGGGACAATGTCTGCTGTATGCCGAGAGGGCTTACCCTCACCCAAACGCAGTCGTTGACACAACGACCGACTACTTTGACGCCTACGAGGGCCCGTCTCCAGACAACACTGGTTGCGTGTGGCGAGTTCGGGAAGGACTCTTTCTCCCAACCATGATGAACATCACCGTTTACCCCTGGATCGACACCAACAAGAAGCTCAAGAGTGGTACCTGCTCTCTGAACATGCGTCTGCAACTGGGAGTCGACGCCAACGTGACTTTGAATCTGGTCGGTATCACTGGGGAATCAAACATCCTCACGATAGCTCTGTCTGTTGGAGCTACGACCATCACATACAGCGACGCCACTGCAGGTCAGCAGACGAGCAGTGCCACGTCTCTCGTCAACTCTGGCAGTCTCTCCCAGCTGCAGGTCTCCTGGTGTGGCGATGTCACGACTTTCGGGCCTGCAGAGAATCCGAGCCTGGTGTCGGTGCCTGCCGCGGGGGTGAGCGACATCGGGTACCTCTCAGCCACCAGTAGCGGACCAGAGTCACTCCTACAAGTGGAGAAGTTCGCTGCCGACGAGTGGTTGTTTGACGAGGAAGGCACCAGCGCTGATCCGATCTTCAGTTTTGGTCAAACCATGATCTCCCGCCAGATTGAACCCACTGTGGATGTCACCGTCAAGTACGATTGTATGTCTAAGTCATACTGCAGTGTCTATCTCCGCTCCGAATACCCACGTTTGCTGACCATTTTCATCGGAGCCTGATCCAATTCAGCCTCCGGGTTGGCCTACGACAAAGGCTCCAGCGTGTACTTCAACCAGACCAACACCGGTGCGGTTCTCAGTCCAACCGAGTTCAACACGTTTACCGTCAGCTACCGCAACGGCTCTGTCACCATCTTCAGGAACGACGAGTCGGAGCCCATCTTTAACGTCACATCGGAGGTGATGCCGCCCATCACGAGCGTAGGTATCGGAAGCATGCACTGGGGTTCGTGGAAGTCTGTGAGAGTGGCGCGATACGACCGCGCCTGGGCCACAGATTCGTGGATCACCGATGGCATTGGATTTAGCAATATGGATACTACGATCTATTCGCCCTGAGGGAGGCAAGTAGACATCACCATCTACTGGCCTTGAGGGAGGCCAGCGGACACTACGATCTACGTGCTCTGAGGGAAGCAAGTGGTCACTATATCTTCAATGGATACTACTGTATCTTCTAGACGGACACTACCGCCTATCCTTGCTCTGAAAGTAAAAAGGACACTACTGCCTCACTGCCCTGAAGGATGCAAGTGCACACTACCTTGGACAGATACTACTGTATCCACTAGACGGACATTACCGTGTACTTGCACTGGAAGCAGAAAAATGGACACAGTACCATCCCACGCGGCCTGGGGGAAGCGTGGAAACTACTGTCTGCTCGCCCTGAAAACCGAGCTTTATTCGACCTTATGGCAGTTGCGCATGGACAATTACTTGTCCTGGTTCTGAAGGCAGCTACTACAAAATCAGTTACACAAGCACATATACTAGAGAGTGACATAGTGACCCTCCTAATTACACAGCCAACATTCATCCAAGATGGTAGCCTAATTTGCAAGCCACTAGTGCAAGTTTGCAAAATAGGTGATGTCTTCAAAGGCAATGCAGTAGTGGTAATAATGACGACACATGCCCGTGAGGGACATTCCCTAAGACTAAGGTGACCTCTGATACAGCTTAGTTGTGTACCCGAAAGGTCACCGACCGGACACTGTGTTTACACTGTGGTGTTAGGACTTAAATTGATTTTTATTATTTAAGTTCCTTTTATTTTGATCAGGACGGTAGTTTCTGTACTTTCTTACAGTGCTGATTAATGCCTGGCCACATTTTCCGGTGGTTATTAGCAAATAAATCGCATCTAGCACGGAACAGAAACGACCCTCGCACACGTTAAGGCTTTAGGTAAGTCGCACGAACCACGCTATTTGACGTGCTTACTGTGCTAAGGTTGGCGGCATTGAAAGTACTGAAAGGCATTTTCTTACTTGCATGACCAGCTAGAGCTATTGAAATATATAGAAAAGTCCTTCGCGTAAATATGGAGGACGAGAAAGGTCAACGCATGATTACAGCTCGTCGAGCTGTTCGTCAATCATTCAGCATACATATGATCAACATTTGAAATAGGCATTAGGCAGTGC